CTCATTTTCAGTCATATATTCAAACAATAAAATATTTTACAAGTAAATACAATTTTTTTTATATTTTTTAATTACACATTCTCTAAAAATTATTATTGAAAATTTCACTTTTTTTTCAAAATAATGACCATCACAAAGGCCTAAAGATGAAAAGAAAAGAATATTATATATTATTATTATCTCACCTTTCTTGCAAAAAGATTCATCAAATATCTTTAATCATGAGTAGTAATAAAACATCTTTATCATCTCTAAAGAGTTGATGGGAAAGCATCAATATAATTGACTACATCCACCATACTTTTTGCTTGAAGTTTGATTTGAGTAGTTTACTTTCGAACAAGTTGTTACGCAATAAAGTTCTCTCTCTAATTTCATAAGTCACTCTCAAATTATGTGTTTCGATTCAATAATTTAAGCCTGAACTTATCAAAATACATATTAGACTCGCTATTCGACCGATTTTTTTTTCCCCTTTGGAATCAAGTGTAAACTAGCTTGATGTGTCAACATTAATATTCTTTTATTTCCATTAGTAGACATAATTCCAATGAAGTAACTTTTAGTTTGTAATGAATAATATGGCATGTAGTTATTGGTGCATTCCACCTAGTAATTGTTATATCACTTCCATCTACATCAACTGAATTATTTCTTTCTTTTTTCCTTTTTTGTGCTTTTATTTCCTAAGTTGCCTAATTAAACTAATTACCCAGCTTATTTATAAATAAAATCCACATAACTTACACTAATCAAATTTCATTTGGAAGGATCTCCATTCAACAATTCATTAGATCTTATCTTCTTTCTCTTTTGTTTATAGTGCGTATCCAGAAACAAAAAATCCATTTGGTCCAAGATTCATAGTCTATAATTTCCAAGTGACATTAAGCACCTGTCTCATAGCGAATCCAAAAGTCAGGTCCTTTGTTGAACTTGTTGAGATGTTGTGTGCGCTAGAATTTCTGTCACTCCACCCAAAAAAATTGATTTTTGTGTCGAATTACCGGCCCCACAATATTTGATTTAAAGCTGCTTATTTGCCAATTTTTAAGTTGTGCAGCATACCCTCTAACATTTTCAAAAAGTCAATTTAGCCCTTGTTGCTACTGCATTGTAAGAAAACGGTGGGTGGGTGAGGAAATTTGTGAGTAGATGAGGGAAATGAATGACAACAGGGGCTAAGTTGGGTATTGTCATTTACAATGAATTATGGTACTATAACTGTCTAAAAAGTGAGTGAGATGGTATAGAATAAAGAATTGATATTTGAACAACCAATAGTCTGATTTTTCCTTCAACTTTAATTGCTACCAAATAGGCGCTAAATTATTGTAGTTATTTGAAGTATTTTACTCGGCTCTTCCCAAGAATTGATCGAGAAATAACGTATATAGTCTCGTGATCTCTACTATAATCTTTCACTAATATATATTAATCAAGGCATTGATCTATTAAATAATTCACCATGATTCCCATTAATATATATAAAATGGATGAAGCTCTAAGAGGCCATTATGCATCGTGAAGGTGTAACTCTGCAATGAACATCGACTAGTATAAAAGACCATTATACTATCCGACGTGCTTTTTCTCTCTGTAGAATCTTGGCAATGTTGATCACTTTTATTTCCATTGGTGGATATATTTCCATTAAAGCATCTTCTAATATATATTGAATAACATCACATGATAGTGATTCTTGCATTGCACCTAGGCTCATTGTCATATATATATCACTTCCATCAACATCAATTAAAAGTATTCTGTCCCATATGCTTTTATTTCCTAACTACAACCTAATTAACCTTTTTTTATATATATAATTTAATTCACCAAACTTCCACTAATTAAAATCGACTAGTATAAAAGACCATTATGCTATCCGACGTGCTTTTTCTCTCTGTAGAATCAACTCCCATCAATCTTGGCAATGTTGATCACTTTTATTTCCATTGGTGGATATATTTCCATTAAAGCATCTTCTAATATATATTGAATAATATCACATGATAGTGATTCTTGCATTGCACCTAGGCTCATTGTCATATATATATCACTTCCATCAACATCAATTAAAAGTATTATGTCCCATTGCTTTTATTTCCTAACTACAACCTAATTAACTTTTTTTTTTTTTTTATAATTTAATTCACCAAACTTCCACTAATTAATTTTTTTTTGTAATTAATAACCCTAACCTTACACTAACTAAACTTCATTAGGAAGGATCCCTAAATATTAAATACTTGCTTTAGGAAGGATCCCTGAATATTAAATACTTGCTTAAAGCAATTTCACAAATAACCACCATTCCTATGAAAGTAAAGCGCTTGTTTGGTAGTATTTAAATCACTTAAAAGTTTTAAGTTCGATTTATAGAAATTTCTGAAATTGCCATAATATTTTAACGTGTGATTTGATGCATCAGAACCGACTCAAATTAGGAGTCTATTTTTAGTCATTAAATAAATAATAATTTGTCTATTTTTACATTCATCAGAACCGACTCAAATTAGGAGTCTTAATCGAGTACCAATATATATATATATATATAGTTCAACCACCCGTCTTAACTCAATTTTGGCTTTCGTTAATTTCTAGACACTAATTCAATTGTGTAGGCTCCCAATCTTATCCATGGGACGTAAAGGTCCAAGTCTATCTAGAGGTGTACAAGTTACTCAAATTGTCCCACTGTCACGTACTTACAATTGTATGAGCTTTTGTCTTTGATTCGATATTCAATCATGCTACACAAACAGGCTTAAAAATAGATTCAAAAATTGGAGTGACACATGTCGACACATGATTGGACAATTAAAAAAAAAACACTCAAACATGTGTTGCCAAGTCAGTCTGTCCATCACTTCCCTGTCTCTGAGCATGTTCAAAGAGTTGGAAGAGTTTAGGTAATACTTTCAAAGTGACTCTCGACAGGAGAATCTAGGCTATTCAAGAAGAATCGCAACAATTCCCCAATCCTAACAAAGTAGTTTCTCCCGAATCCAATGAACAACAACAATTACTTTGAATTAGCTTTATCAATTCCTTTTCTACCAACTCTTTCACGGGCAAAAAAAAAAAAAATTATAACCACGCCATAATTTCTCTTATGTAGTGAATTAGGTTGTTTTTTAAGTTTTATTTTCTATTAAGTGCAGGGTTTATCATAATTGTTGAGATAAAGAAGGGTAAATTCGTAATTCATTTGATCAAACTATCTTATAAGTTGGATTGACTTGACTTATTGCGTATTTCACTTTGGACTTAAAAATAAGCAATTATAATTAAGAAATGTTCGTGTGGATTTTGAACTTGTAACCAGTTTGTCATAAGTTGTAACCAAATTTTGAGTGCTTACTGCTCAGGAGCATTTCACAAATAACACTAAAAATAAAACTAATTCTCAATATACTTTTAAATTATTATTATTATTATTATTATTAATCAAAATACTATTCTCAATACCACCATGACCACTTGTATTAGAGTGTGTTACGCACATTTTGGCCATCTATTCCCCACCGCCACGATTGTTGCAACCACCATCACTTTTAACCTTTAGTAATATACTATCATTGTCGTATACAGCATTTGTAATATTCATTGTTAACACCACCATTTTCACCACTATCACGACTAAACTCGTGTATCAAAAAGCCACCACAAAAAAATCACCAATTCCTACCCAAAACTACTGTCACACCGCCACCTATTTCCACCACAACTGTCACCACCTACGCTTCTTGGTAATGCTATCAACATCACCAAAACAAATGGGGAATTCAAGATCCAAACCAAACACAATCTCCCAACCTTTGCTTTCTGTCGTATAAAGATTTGAGCATATGAAACAAAGATCGATGGACCTCATCATCATCGCTCTTAACAACCACCAACATCAATGAAAGCTCCCAGATCAGATCTGCTTTCATATTCGAAATTGTATATTGTCATCATTGCTATCGACGATAGTTACATGGTGAATGGTGCAGGAGGTGTAAGTTCGATGGTGGATCTTGTGGCAGTGGGCTGGTTGGTGGTGTGTATGTGTGCACGAGCACGCTTGTATGCGTTGAAAAAAAAAATGATAAGTACTTATTGAATAAAAAAAATAGCTTATTCCAATGTTTGGGCGTTATGTGAAGTCTTAAATGGAAGGACTTTAATTCAAGACTCTTCAATTTTTTTATGAGAACCATAGTGCACAATTTTTAACGGTAAGAAATGTGATCACTTTTTCGAAAAGCTATAACTCATAAGACGCCCCTGTATGGTACGAATTAAAATCTCAAGTCAAAGTATACATTTCATGGAACCCACAACTTTTCAACCACATATTTTCATCAGCTTTTATCAAAATCTACTAAAAATCTGATTTTAATCTCTACCAAACATGGGCTAAAGAGGTGCATTTAAACTCTCATTCACACAAGCATCATTCATATGCAATAGGACCACCCTCATGTTCAATGTGTTCAACGAGCATAAGTATAAACATAAAGAGTCAAATAACTTTTTAATCAATTTATTGGAAATAAACACAGAGAATCTGAACTATTGAAATAAAATAAATATTCAATAATTGGGGAAAATTACAACTATTCGTGCAGTGTCGGGCCAAAGAAAAAGTAATCCATGTCAAGATATCCTTTTTTTGCAGAAGAGAATCTACAGAAATTCTACATTTGCTGTAATTGTAGTAACATGAACTACAAATTGTTTTACTTACTCTTTCCCCTTCTCGTTCTTTGATTTCTAGGGACCGGGGGGACCAGGCTTGCTACTAGAGCAGGAATCCGGGACAGGGTCCTAGTACATTGAAATGAAAACGAAGGTAACCAATATTGAATAGCAGATCGAAATAGATAAATAGATACCCGAAGAGATAAGCCGGTTTTGGAGATTGCTATGAGTGTAGTTCTTGCCATTTCACCTGACGTTCTGTAAGTTGCAAAAATGATGGTAGCTGTTTAAGAGAACCATTACAGCTGTGACTAAACTAATAATCTTATAGCTGATGCAATAGGAAGCAGTTCTTCCTCTGTAACTTTTTTCCAGACTCCATCGACCATCAGACGACCCATAACCCCTTCGGAGGGAGTATCATCCTTATCGTATGATTCACAAACTGCTTCATTCTCCTTCACTTTCTTAATAAATGCGCTATCCAATTCTTCAATCGGACAGTCAGCATCCCTTTTCCCACATTGATTTCGTTCCCAAGGCGCCTTGCTATCTGATACTTTTTGAGCTTCTCTGGGCTTGTCATTGCAGTCGAGAACCGGAAGACGGCCTGAGAAGCCAAGATTGTGAGGGAGCAAGCCTATAGGACATGGCTTCCACGACTTTGTAACAACCCATCGGCTATTAACTTCCACATTGGAGTCAGTAGGTTTTACATCAGTGCCATTCATTTGACGATGTCTGATTAACTTGAATTGCTCTTCAGCTTGACGAATAGAATCTTCTTGTTCGGAAAGAAGGATCACAGAGTGAGAAACAACAGAGTTTTCTTTGCTAATGTTGGAATTTGACACCCATAGGGAAGCCATCTTTTTGAGCTTACAGAGCAAAGAGCTGTCTCCTGTCATCTGTGCAAGAACAAGGGCCGAATCCATCAGCTTTTCATTGCCAGGACAAGACAACACAAGACATTTGCGTAATAATCTTCGTAGCGTCTCCTTTGGCAAGTTTGATTCTGCCAGAGAATCTTCACATTCTGTAGGTTCCTTGTGAGAGACGGGATATACTGTCTTGAGATTTCCAACAAGCCACTCAAACAAATAAGCAAGTAGCTCGATTTGGCAAGACTTAGCAAAATTATCCAGATTGTGATGTTCGCCTGGATCCATAAAAAGTAGATCAAAGATGAAAACATAACTACATAAATATTATCAACTAATCAAAAAATAACAATATGATATCGAACACCATTTCACAGAAAATAGAAGAAAAACTAATCATAGAAAAGTGAACATTATGCTTGAAAAATGTCACAAATTAACCGGGTTACCTATTTTGCATCTCATGATTTCTTCCTGCGTCTCTATCTTCTCAAGAACAGCATTAAGGAGGTTTAGAAGCAATTCTGGTTCTTTATTTGACAATTTCAAGACGACAGATTTCCAGTCATCATATACAGTCTGTTGCTTTTCATGGCCGATTTCCGATTCCATTGTGTGTTCTGTGAAATCCGAGGAATCTAATGCCTTAAGCAAAAGTTCCAAGAGAATGTATACCACTTCTGAAGAAAAAGAAGTATACAACCGAAGAATATTTTTAAATGATTTGGTAACCTGCTTCTTCGAACCTGAAACTTATAGCCACCACCAACACAGAAGTTAAAATCCTGATTGATTAATGTTATTTTTAAAGATGTGAATAAAAAATTAATGAATCACCAAGAAACATAATCATGGGGAAATTCAGTGTAGAGATAGAGGTGATGACAAAGGATACTCATGAAATATAAATGCAGTGTTCTAAAAGGTGGAGCCTAGGCATGAGGTATGAAGAATGCAGCTTATATGGAAAAGGTGTGAAAAAGTTGGTCACTCTTATTTTGACCACCTATGCAGCCTAGGAGGTGAAATGACTAATGAAGGCTTAGGTTTTGGTGCGATTAATGCAAGCCTATGCACCACAAGTAGAGGTGCCAAGACGGACGGGCTGACTAGACCCGTGAAAACCGGCCTGTATTGGTCCGGGACTGCGGGTTGACCCATGACCCGAGCGGGCGGTTCACGGGTCAAGGAGGTGTGACCCACGGGCTTCGCGGGTTGCACCTTCACGGGCCGCGGTTAACCCGCTGGCCTGTGAAAAAAAATTTTAAAAATTTGAGAAAAATGGGGAAGATGCCAACTTAGTTGGGATGTACTTATACTATAAATATTTGATAATAATAATTAGAAATGCATTTAGTTGCTATTTGTTAAGTTAAATTTAACTTTGCAAAATTATAAACAATTCATGTAACATTAAATTTAAATTCTATGTAAACATTTCTTGGTATAAATATGAATTTATTATTTTGTTCAATTCTTAATTTACATTTAACAAAACAAAATATTTTTTCTATAAATATGAAAAATTATATATTTTTATAATTTTATTTATACAATAATACGGACCAAATAAAAATAAACCGCGACCCGTGACCCGCATGAACTCGACCCGGATGGGCTCAGCGGGCGGGCCGAGTTCCAGTCCAAAATTTGTGGGCCGACCCGGAACCGACCCAGAACCCGTAGTGGCAGGCTTTTTTTCACGCGGGCAGTTACCAGGCTCATATGTTGGCGGGCCGACCCGACCCGGACCACTCAAATTGACACCTCTAACCACAAGGAGCGTGCCTTTTTTAATTTTTATTCTATTTTATTAAATTAAATTAACTAATTAAGTAAAATGAATTATTATTAATAATCTTAAAATAATTAAAAACAAGGAAACACCTTATTATGCCTCAGCTCATAAGGTTCGAGGCTCGAACTTGTCTCCTCTCTATGCCTTACGCCTTTTAGAACCAGGTAAAAGAAAGCATACTACAAGCATGTTTTGGCTAAGCTTAAAAAATTTACTCGTAAGTAGATATTAAAATTTTAGCCCCAGCTTGGTTTAGCTAGAAATCAATTTTTTAGTATATTCCAATAAAAGTTGATGAAATGTGTGATTAGAAAGTTGATAAAAATTGTGGGTCCCATGAAATATATGGTTGAAAATGAATTTCAAAAAATGAGTGCCAAAAAAGGGCTTAATTTGATACTAAAATAAGTTACTTAAAACTAACGTAAGTTTAACTATGACTCCAAACCCCCCAAACCACTTCAGAGTCATACATCTTTTACTAACCAAACTTCTTATAACACAATACCACATTATTTATCCTAAAGAAAATAAATGCACAATATCATCACACTTCAAAAACTCTAATACTCAGACTCTTCGAACTAGTCGGAGCACTCGTGTTGTGTCTATATGGATATAGAATATGTGTTGGATCCTCCAAGTTTTAACCCGACGAGGTGCGTTTCTGCTGCTTCTTTCTTTTTTCTTCTTTTTTTATTTTTCCCTTCTCTTCTTTCCCCTTTTTGCTTTCTGTAAACCAAGCGCCGCCTCCGAGAGAATTGAGAAAGGCAATAGTGCTATTTTTTTCCTTTTTTTTTTCCCTTATTTCCCTCTCAATATCGGTGGTTTAGAGTTTTGTTTGTATAAAATGAAAAATGGTTAGTGCTCCACTGAGTCTAAATTGCAACCAAATCCCTCATTTTCTATTTTATATAACATTTAATAATTAACTTCACATAATTAAAAACTAAACCCTAAAATTTAATTTTTTTCGTCTTATCTCCTTATTCAATATTCATTTTCATTCCTAGTGAACAGTTGATTTTGGTCTATTCAAAATAATATCTTGGGTTAGAAAAAAAAATTGAAGTTTAAAAGACATATCTACGTGCTCGTGTTCGAAATTTGGACTCTTTTTAGCTATATCCCCTTATCCTACATTTTAGAAAATAAAAGATCTGACACTTAAATATGTACCCGTACCCAAGTCTGAGCATTATAGCTTAAAAGTGCTTGGCCAGGAATGTGTGTCAAATTATAGAATTCGTTAAAAAACCTAAAGTTCATGATTAAGATGAAGAAATACCATCCCAAAATCTTGTCAGCAATCAATGGAGAATTAAAAAGGGAATTAAATCGGTCCCCACCCACTCACCCACCAAATAATTCATTACACAGAAATTTACTAGACTATTCAGCATCTTGCAATTTTCTTGTGTTTCAATCAAGATTTTGAGCCACATTAACAACAAACATAACTATATAAAGGCTCCATAAATTTTCATTTAATAAATATTACCTGTAGTTTTACAATGTGATGTCTTCCCAGCCATAAGAAAGAGAAATTTATTATGCCCATGTAAGTGTTCCATTTGTCTAACACCTGCATGTTGGTGTGAAAATTAATTTAATTAAAATCTTATCATCAGTAAATGCCACAATATAAAATTAGGAGACTGATCAACTATTTATTAAAACAAAATAAGGGGAAGTGCAAACTTAAAGTTGTTACGACCAATATTAATACAAGTTGATATTCTGAATATGAAGATAAAATGTGAAGGAAAAAAATCTTCACATTTAAATATATATAGAAACATGTAACTAAGTTATTTAACTACAGTACTCTCAACTACATCAAATCATTCTATAGGAATTGAATTCAAATATGAAAGGTACCCATCAATGAAAATCTAATGCATCTATTTTAATAGACAACTAAACACTTGCAGAAGCAATGACAATTAATTATACAAAACCCAATATTATGAAGTAAAATTTATGACATGAAATCTAGCTTTTATTTGGGTCAAACAATTAAAGACATTAAACTAGTTGACAAACAATGAAACACACAAGACAGTAGGCTGACAAATAAAAGAACTCGTTAATAGGAGTTTCATTGCAAAATGTCATGAACTGGATAGCAATACTTGTACAAGATACACTTGAGATTTCAATAGATAAAGAAAACAGGGTGTGTATTTTGAAATAGTATTTTAATGGAGAATGTGTGGATGAAAAATAAGGAAAAGTTATTGATGTGATAGAAAATATTATTTTATTGAAAAATGTGTAGTTGAAAATGAGTAGAATGAAAATGAAAATTTTAATGTGTCTCAAACATGGGCATAATTTCTATTGATGCAAAAGGCATCATCATTCAACAAAGTGAAGATTACATTTTAGACTTACGTTTTCCCTTGACTTGCAAAGAACTTGATCTGGTAATTTGCTTCGCTTTAAGAGACACAGCAAGTTCACGTAGTCTACACTTAATTTCTTTTCTGCGATTGGCAGTTTGATTAACCGGGATGGCCTTTTCTTGAGGTTCCCAATAATATGATTTCAACCAATCAAGTGCCTGAATTATCAAAAACAGATGTAAAATTCATGGTTTGCAGATTTCCAATGCTAGAATTAAATCTAATTTTTTAAGATGAAAAAAGAATTTAATATTTAACAAGGACTTGTAGATCCTACTTTAAGGCTCTTTCATCAAAGGCAAGTTACCAAGATGTCAGATCAACATTTTACAACTAAAACCCAATCTTCCAAACTTCAGCTGACCAAATTTCAGGTTAACATATTTATGTTGAGACCTGTATGTGTTTTTTGTTTGCATGTAGTACACTGGCTGACAATTCAACAACTCCGATAATCTGAGTGATTTTAAAGCATCAAAAAAGACATGTGCCTTTTTTTACTTGTGTGTATTATGAGAAAGCAAAAAACTAAAGATCTTCACAAGCTTCCTTTTACACATTGGAGCCATGCAAGTCCTAGGAGAATGGTCAAGGAAATTTTAGCAGCCATGTACATAAATAGTGAAAATAATGCTCCATTCGTACCGACTACATAAAATTTTCCGTGACTTCAATAAGCAAGAAGGTCCATTTTTACAATCAATAATTTCTTAAGAAAAGTTTTTGCAAAATTTGGAAAAAACACTGAGAAAACTACAAAGTAGTGGAAATAATTTTAAATTACAAACTGAAATATGGCCAAATTATTATACAAATAAACGTGCTCCATTTCATTCATTCCATCTAGAAACAGAAAAGTGTAGCTTCTGTCCAGGAAATCAATGACAATAAAGACAACAGCATCAAAACGGACACATTTTTTACGCTAGCAGTCGAAAAGATCATGAAATATTACCTTTGTCGATGCAAGACGAACCAGTTGAAGAGACGGGAGATCACGATGAGAACCCTCTACAAGTTTTTTAAAATCCATTAATAACTTTAAAGTTTTATGTATGAATCACAAGAATAGACATGTGGTGAATGATACACCAACATTTTTAAAGATAAAACAAGTAACATAGGAATGAAAGCAGTTCTACATAAAAAAACATCCAGAGAAATTCACCATGACGAATATCAATAAGCATTCTTGGAATGCCAATAGCATTTGCTGCTTCCCCGATTGAAATCACCGTCTTTTTCCGGGTCTTCTCAACCACACCATTTACAAGCCTTTGAGAAACAAATAAAAAGAGGAAAAAATCATTCTTTCAGGGGCCAATACATAAACAAAACAATAATTTAATTAAAATAAGAAAGGAATAGGAACCTCATGATCGCCATGCAATATAGCATGGATAGCATTTCTTGTGATTGCAGAGCACCTTCACTTAAGTCATCTCTATAATCAATCCACAATGTAAGCGTGTAAACTTTTGTTTGTAGGCAAGTAAAAAATTTGACTAAAATAATTGAAAGTCACAAAAGGAAGGGGAAAATAATCTTTGTTGCTAAATTTAGCCTAAAATGAAGGAATAAGAGAAGCAAAAGGACTACTCTATACAATGGTATGAATCTTAAACAAAGAAGAATGCCAGTCTATATTTATCTGAATTTTGTTATTGATTATATCGAAACTCACAGAAAATAAAGAAGAAGGAAATATTGGATCTTTCATCCTTTCTATTGAATTCTTACAGTAAAGTGAAATCACCAAAGCAGCATCTATTTTACTGAATTTAATAATAGATTACTGAAAGGAATAAAAATATGGATTCTTTTGAAGAATTTTAATTTAAAAGAAAATAAAACTCACCTAAAAAAAGGATCTTTCTGTTGAATTTCGATAATAGAAGCAGTGACATCAATCACCACCGGAATGCATCCTCTGCTCCGCCACGTCGATATCTAAAAATCCACCAAAAAAATCTTTCATAAACTAAAAATACACATAATTTATATAAAAATGAAGGCACAATCTAATTTCTATATATAATTACTCTTTGGAGGGCAGAGTTTATAGAATCCGGAGAAGACGAAAAGAAGGAGGTTTTGACGAAGTTCCACTCCTCCCAGCTAATCCAAGGCACTAGCTTGAAGCTGTGGGATTTCTCTTCAACGACGTCGTCTTGTTGGGGTTCCTTAAACCCTAAGAGCAGAGACTCCATCTTGACTTGAGATTATTTCAAGAACCAGAAGAGCAGATTAATGATAGAGAAGAATGGGGAAGGGTTTTAGGGAAGGCAGGTTTTAAGTGTCGAACCGTACCGGTTTAATTGAACCAGTTGGCAAAGCAGAAAAATTGCATTTCATCCCCCTTATTGGAATTTGCAAATTTTAATTGGTTTTCTTGCACTTTTCATCCTCACCCTTTTCGAAATATGACTTATCTACCCTCTACTTTTTTGGCATCAAATATTCTCTACTTTTACTAATTGCAAATCATATCCTCACTAATAGAATCCACCCAGCTTGACTATTAAGGTCGCGTAAAAAAATAATTTCACCTTTCATTAAATAAACAAAAATAAAAGGAAAAAAAATCAAAATAATAAAAAACAAAATAAAAGATTTCATATAAATGTTCAAGAATATGACATGACAAAATTATTCCAAAGTCATTCATCGCCCTTCCCTCCACCATAAGCCAATGCCACTCACCATCTCCACCCACCACTGTTGATGACTCCGCCTTAAATGTCATTATCACACCGCAATTCACTGGTGGGGTGGAATGGGTTGGTTGGGAAAAAAAAAGATATTTTTTTCAATTTTTTTATTTTAAAAGTTGCTTTTAATTATTTTAGTTGTGGTTTATTTGTAATTTTTCAAAAGATTTGGGACTTGTTGAAAATTTCCCTTTATTTTAGGGAAAAAAATCATATTTAAGGTGTATTCTTTACTTCAATTCAAAAATAAGGTAAATAGTTTAAAAATTCAAAAATCAGGTATTTATTTAATTAATTAAAAATATTTATTAAATAAAGATAATAAAGTCACATTTTGTGATTAATGATCACATATTCATAATTTTAAGTTACAGATTTATTTACTGGTCACATATCGTCAAATTTTTTGATCCCAAATTATTTCGAGGTCACATATCAAAAAATTTGTACGTCACAAATTATTTCGAGGTCACAGATTTTTAAATTAGTTGGTCACATATTATTTCGAGATCACAGATTATTAAATTTTTAGGTCACATTTAAGTAATTGGTCATATATTAACAAAAATTTGGTCACATTTGAGTAATTGGTCACAAATTAACAAAAATTTGGTCACAGATTAACAAAAATTTGGTCACATACTACCACCTACCACCGATACTTGGTCACAGATCACAAATGAACCAACACAGACTATCCAGCCACAGAACACACGACTGAACCCCAACCACGATAGATCCACCACCACCAACAGCCAACCACATCCACCACCTCTAGCTAACAGCCAACCACAACTACCAGCCAACAACCAACAATAGATCCACCACCACCAACAGCCAACCACAACCACCACCGCCAGCTAACAATAATAGATCCACCAACCCGCCAACCACAACCACCACCAGTCAACAGCCAACCACCACCACCACCAACAGCCAACAACAGCAATCAGCCAACACACCCACTGCCAAGCCTCCACCGCAAAATCACAACCAAAAAACTCACCAACCACAAACCACAAAGAAATCACAACTAAAAAAATCACAACCACAAAAAAATCACCAACTGCCAACCAGAATCGCAGCAGCTGCGAATCAGCTGCTTCCAGAATCACAGCTGCTGCGATTCCGCAGCAGACAGGGGGAGGGGGAGGAGGAGACGGAAGAGAGAGGGGAGGGGAGGAGAGAGCAGGCGAGAGAGAGAGGGAGGAGTGGGTGGAGGGTAAAAAATTAGGGTTAGGGTTTTTATATAGCACCTGATTTTTGAAGATTGAAACTTGGTCCCTGATTTTTGAATTTGAAACTTTAAACACTTGAAATTCTTGAATTTCTCTTTATTTTATAGTTACTTTCTCTCTTTCCTTTTTTTTCTTTATTTATTTAAATATGATGTCAAATTCGTCATTTTACGTAAACTTAAAGTGAAAATGGATGGAAGGACATTGGAAAAGTCCGATGTAACAAAAGTTTAAGGTAGATTATAGCAAATTGCAAAGATTGACGAATTTCCATTTTTGTTATTGTGATTATTGTATTTATTTACCTAATCAATAATCAATTGATTTGTAAAAGTCAAAAAGTGAGTTATTTGTTCAGATCTAATAGTAAACATCGATAATTTAGTTAAAGATAGAGATGTACATTTAGAATTATTGTGATTGTCATCTAGATGGCTTCGTTTATGGCTTAATGTCATACTTGCCAAGAATCAGTCTACCAATAGATTCTCTTCGGTCGTTGAAGTAATTCACTATAATGAGAAATATTAATAAAAGAATAATCTTATACTATATTTTTTCTGGGCAGTGCTTGAAGTACAGGGGCATGATTCACAGGCCCCTGCCAGGCCACACACATCGGGAGGGGAGCTTTTTTTTTTTTATACACAGGTGGGGTCGGCTGCACAATGAGGAGCCTGTACGGCCCCTGTGAAATGAGCCCCTGTACTTGGGGAATAATCCATTTTTTCTTGTCTCTCTCTTTTAATTATGATAAAATAAATCTAATGATAACTTTCTATTTGAAAAATAAAAATAAAAAAATAAAATTACTAGTGTGAAATTCCTAGGTTGATCTGCATACTTGACACCACGTAACGACAATAATTTGGCTCTACAACTTAATAATTCTGATACACCAAAGGTTGAGGTTAGCATGGATTTTCTATTGGAATCAGCTAGAACTCAGCGATGTGACCGATTCAATATTGTTGTTGTGGTGGATAGATTCTCAAAAATGGCCCATTTTACAACTTGTAAGAAGAATGCAAATGCCGTGAATGTTGTCTCTCTGCTCTTTCAGCAAGGTGTATCACCTACCTTCGTTATATCTGATTGTGACACAAGATTCTCAGTCATTTTTGGCGGAGCATTTGGAAGCTTGCCAACAAAAAATTGAATTATAGAGGCGCATTCCACTCTTTGATAGATGGTCGAGCGAAGGTTGTTTATCGCTCTCTAGGTGATCTGTTGCGTAGTTTGGTTGGTAGAATTCGAAAGCTTGGGATAAAAAATTGGTCTAGGCTGAGTTTTCTCACAAACGTGCTGTCAATCACAGTATCAACCTTAGTCCCTTGCAGACTGTTTATCTAGTTGTTCCCCGTGGGCATTTTGATCTTATATCTCTTCCTAGCAAGTCCCGTTTTCATGGTAAAGCCAAAGACTGATTGGTTGGTCTCGTCACTTATGATTGGTTGGTCTCCTCTTCACTGAAATATAAGCTGGCTGCTGTTGGCAAAATCGTGACGTGGAGTTCGTTGTTGGAGATTTCGCAAATGTGTCCGAAGATCTCCATTTACTCCTACCTAACCATATAGAAAAAGATGACGTGTTCAATGTAAAGCACTTGTTTCCTAGGAAGATTCTTCTTCAGATGATGATCACCTAGATTATTCGACGATGAATCTGTTCTCGCCCAAAGATGATAATGTAGCCACAATGGCTTAGGATTTTTATGCTAAAATTGATTACCCAAAGGCATCCAAGTGATGGCAACATCGAGGCCGAGTCACACCTGTCCATTACCAGCAGCACACCAATTGAGGATCAATGAACATCATTGAAGTTTTTAGGAAAGAAGAAGATCGCACATGAAAACTGAAACGTGTTGGTTCACTCGTGAATGCCAAACAAAAGAAAAAGTTGGGACAAAATTCCCACTTATTTTTTATTCTTAAAAAAATTGGACTGCCATTAAAGCTTACAACTCTTATTTAAAGTAAAAAAACAAAGAAAATAAAATCAATGACGAAAATCAAGATAACGTGGAAACCTAATCTTCAGGATCAATTGCCAAAAAGGGAATTAAATTCTAAATTCATTTACCAAACAATTACAAAAAAAAGAATAGGACAAAACGCATTTTCGAAGGCCTAAATAATGAAATTTGGCTGAAACAATGGAATTGACACAACTTATCCGAAATGGACATTCCAGAAATTATTTCTTTCTACACCGATCTACTTGACCCTTTGATTTTCCGCAAGTGAACGGGATCGTAAATATAGGTAATAAAATAGTGAATATAAATCTACTTGACCCTTTGATTTTCCGCAAGTGAACGGGATCGTAAGTATAGGTAATAATATAGTGAATATACTATTGAACCCACCCTGACTGTGTATTTGACCAATTTAAAATTAACTGCAACTTTAATCGAATAAAAAACAAATTTTGTGATTTTTTCTATACTAATTTCTAAATTATCAATTAAACTTGTTCACGAAAATATGTTTCGTATTTAAATCACCGCAAGTGCATGGTTCGTTGACAAGTAATAAAGTGGAAATCCTAGAACTTCGAGTATCGTTCTCACGATGATTGATTTAACTTGATTTTATTATTGCCACCTTAACCGAATCTATTAAATTTGAGATGAGTTTTTCAATTTCTATGATTAAACTAAAACTAGCATGCAAATTAAACTAAAATTACGACTTAAATGCAAAAATGACGTTTCAATGCAAAAGATTTGAATGAAATTAATGTATCAAAAAGCACACTAGGATCCTAAATCATCAAGCAAAGTTTCCTTTTAATCCCTATTTCACAATTTGATAACACGATGAATTGGTTGAAAAATTAATGTTTCTAACTTATCCAACAATCTCTTTTGAGTAGAATTGAACATATTCTAGCATACCATTTGACTATATTTCTATGACAAATGCAATATACAAGAATGAATAACGTTTTGTAAATACTTAGAGATTCACGTAAAGCATAGAGGTATATTTCTATCCCTATGAACCCTACGATGATTTATATATTGTTGAGTTTATTTCCCTTCTTTCGAATGCATAAAATAAACCACTCAAACTCACACAATTAATGTGCACTATATCGTGGAGGTAAGAAAGTGTATATAAATCCATTCAACATCCATCGAATGAGTTTACATATTAAATTGTAAAATAGAAATTAAAAGATCACAATGCGAGATTCATCGTTCACCTAGTACATAAAAATTCTAGCCTAACATGGATAAAATAAAAGAACAAT